ATGCATATTAAAAAGTTATTTCAGAAAAATCAGGTATTGTCATAAGCCTTTCTGCGATTTCCTGAAAGAAAAGTTTATGTCATCGAATTCACCGCCGGAAACACCAGGTGGTTCGCGTGATTCAAAAAATAGTCCCGATTCAACAGATCGTAAGAAAGCAACTCATTTAAGATGCGAACGACAGCGTCGAGAGGCTATCAATGTTCGTTGATTTTAGCTAGTTCTGGATTAGCGAGTTGATTAATTAAAAGTAATCGGAATGTCTTTGAATTTCAAGTGCTAGTAATCAGCTGGATTATACCTATTTTACCAGAAGCTATTTTTCAAATCAATTTTAACTCACTTCGACATCAGCAATCCGAAATTTGAACTGTGTTTCGATGAAAAATGTATTCTTTCATCACTATTTCATTACTACAAAATATATTCTTTCATTACTGTTTATTACATTACAATCATCCATGATATTGATTGGGGCTTGTTCTAATGGTCTTCATTTACTGATTCCTATTCACTCGCTAAGAATCCGAAAGGTCAGAAGGCGTCCTGTACAAATATATAAAACCATTCGTCTAATTTAGCTCTTTTCAGTTAGAGGTGAAAATGGATGGAGATTCATGTTTGATTCTTCAAATTTCTAATGGTTTAGATTGGATATCAGGAATTGAAGGAGTTGCTACCAGCATCATTCTCGCCTATTGGGTGTAAAACAACTAATGCAGCAATTTTGTTTCGCGCAGCTGATTATTTAAATCATTTAAAAAAGGAAGAAGAAAATCTACATGAAACAATTGTTCAGCTAACCGCACAGGTCTGTTCTCTGTTATAATTTCTCTTTCATTTATTCACTTTGTAGTTTCTTATACTTGACTTTTATCTGCATTTTTTCTGATATTTTTGCTTATTTAGGTTTCAGCACTTGAACTTATCGCCAAGCAATATGAAAATATGGCAGTAAGCAGTTGTACATCTAACAGATCTTCGATTCAGTGTCAGATTGTGTGTAGCTTTTGTTTTAAAGAACCAAAGATTAAATTTTGATTGATTTTTTCTTATTTGAAGTTACTAGGTTTCATCACTCTTTTCGAAAAAGATTTGTGGTCCAGTATAGTTGTGCTTTGTAATGACTTATCGAATGAACTATTTTCTGAAGAAATTATTTAACAAAATGAGGCGTTATGAATCATTTTATTTTGTCTTTTGTAATTTCTAGAACATCGTTATCTTTTAAACGATAAACACCATAATCTTAGTAGCATAGACTGCTCACAGTGTTATTCATTTCTTGCCTAGTTATAACCTTTTCAGATGCAAGCCTTTCTTGATTCATGTTTTGCTTCATTCCGCAGACAAGTGAATGTTTCCAACTTACAATCCGTAATAGAAACACTGCTACCTTGGGTGGAAATCCTGGATTATGATGTTAGTTTCCTTATTTTTTTGTCTAGGTATTTCAGAAGATGGGACATTTTGTGAAGATTTCCTTTTAATGCAATATTACCAATTGCTACAGAAATATAATGGTATTCTTTTGCAGAAAATTTCTCGGGATACATTAGACACTGTATATAAGTGTTGACGGTGGTAGATCAGTGCTTTCCATGTTTCATGTTTGTTTTGCTAAAAAAAAGTGTGATAGATATGATTGCCTTCTGTTCATAATAATTCATTATCTTCATTTCTCGTGCTAACTTTCTTATACATTAGTGTGTTGTGATAGCATTCTTTATATTTGAAATATGTAGAAAGTAGTTTGCACCTTAGATTACCAGTATTGTGTGATGAATGATATTTGATGTTTTTTTTTTTTAATGCTAAATTCCATCAGAAATTGACAAGGCAAATGAGATCATTCGATTATTCAATGCATTATACACAATTCTGATTGAAAATAATTGTATCTCGAATTACTTAGAAGAGATTCACAGTGCTAATCGTTAAATTATTGAGCGAATGAGAAAAGTAAAAGCATTCTTGACATTCGGTCCGTTTGGTTGATAGTTCATGAATCATGTTTTCTTGTTATGCTCTTCAATTTAATGAATCGATATTTCGTTAGACTTTTTCCTTTCGTTAAATTGTACTCTGATCACTTTTTTTTTCAAAGTTGTAGAAAAGGTATTCATTTTTGCGATCACAATTATTTGCGGAAATCACTTTTGTATATGTTGTAACATTTACTGCCTTCAGTATGTACTCTTATCTCTCATACCTTTTTTTTCTTTATTTACTCGAGAATTTGCGTGGAGATTAGTTGAATTCCTTGATGTGAATAAAGTCTTACTTTGGTATGTGTGTGTTACATGCTTAGCGTACGTTTCCTTCGAGTGTTTGAATTTTGATTTTCATTATTTTGGGATTGGGAATTTTTACAAGTAAGCTAAGAGTGAGATCATATAAAAAGTAAAGGAGTGGAAGCAATTGACTAAGTAGATGAAAGGAGGTGGAATAAATTAGTTGGATAAAAACGTGATCTTGACTTTGCTACAACTTCGAAATAAATTTGTTATATATTTTCCGAAGGAAGAAGCATTTTGTTGAATGCGAGACGGCTATTTTCATTGGGGATATTTGAAGGGAAGGTAGTCTGTCGATGACAGCTCATAGCTTTTTAGATTGGTGACTGTATACTTTGAGGTTTCTCGGGTGAATTATGATGGACGATGGAGGTGTGGTGTGATAGACTGGTAGGAAGTTCGATGAAGTGAAATATATGGATAACTTCAGGTAAAGATAAAGTGAAATGTATGGATAACTTCAGGTAAAGATAGCCTTTGACAGAAAAAGTATGTGGGCTGCTGATAGTTCAGTTAATTGAGTTAATGAAAGACGAATTACCGGGTGGGCGATAAGTATATAATCGCTTTGGAAGGAGTTATATAACAATATTTCAAGATGTCCATCGATCGGTGTAAATTTTGATAGCGTTTGTTGGTGAACAAATACGCATACATCTGATTCGAATAATTTGAGTTAATTTATCAGCAGTATACCTTCACCTCTTTTCATTTAACACATATTTCGCAGAAATTTGACCTGATATCTGTCTTGTTGACCGTTTTTTTTCGCGTAATTTCTTCCTTTCCGTTTTCCTTACCCGGATAAACTTAAGACAATTATATTATTATCGATCTTACCGAAATTTTTCAAATTCAGATGTTTATACAATCGCTTGCTTAACTTCGTGAATTTATCGGGAAATGCCCATTACTCATGAACTAGTAAAGTTCAGTATGAATGGGTCAAGGCATTGAATGAAATATGTAACAGTATGTATATTGTGCTATTCATTATGTATTGTTGTAAACGACAGCAGAAAATTCAGTATAATGAATGACTGTTTACCATAAAGATGTGAAAGGACAGAAATCGATTATGAAATTTTCATTTTCAAATTTTCTATATTTCACTTTTTGTTCCTTCTTTTTCTCTTGAAGTACAAAATTTCCCCTATTTTTTATTTTTCTAACGGAAAGAAAAAAGCTTCAATTGAATGTTTATTTTTTCCATTACGAAATTATTGTTCGAGAAATTTGCTGCATTATCTGATTTATATCATTTAGGCTACAATTATGTTACGTCTATTGAGCTGTTATCAGTGATGTAGCAGTTAAGCTATTAGAGATACTAAGCTCATATTCCTGTCAGGAATACTGAACTACTAAATATATATTTCTGTGAGCATTGCCAAGCTATTAAGGTGTGTCTGTATTAGAAATACCAGGCTGCTCAATATGTTTGTATGAGAGTTATGAGAATCACACAATGACATATGTATACCGTATTTTGTTACACTATATGCATGCAAATTGAAATTGTTATAAATGTGGAAAAGATATGTAAGATGCAAATGAACAATGCAATGATTTGATTATATCATAGGTTTGATTAAATTTAATTTTCTTTTTTCTTATAGAAGGAAAAAAGAAGCAAGAATTAATGTTATAGTGGATTACAATAACATTCCCAGTTGTTCCTATTCGGAAGGTGTGGTAGTTCAAAAATCGATGGATTATTTATGTTTCATGGAAGAAAGTGAAGCACAACAACTTCTTCAACTTAAACAGTTAATTATTTGCGGTAAACTTCGAGGTGAACTTCCAGCTGGTTTTTTATCATGTTTTCGTCATCTTCCTAACGAGCTAATTATCAAGATTTGGAATTTTTTTTTCGAATTTGTGTTTTAGTATTTGTGTGTATAC